GCATAAGCTTTCGTGGACTACAGCCCACTTCTTCGGATGTAGTCCACGAAAGCTTATGCTCTAATAAATTTGTTAGTCTCTAAGGTGCCACAAGTACTCCTGTTCTTTTTGCGGATACAGACTAACACGGCTGCTACTCTGAAACCTGTCCTATGTACATCTGTCCAGAGCCCAGCCTGGTCCTTTGAGCTCAGCACGGGTAAAGGATTTGCTCCTAGATAAATAGGTCAAACAGGGTTATTTGTTTATACATTTTTCATTTACCTGAATTTAAAACATGGCTGACTTTGTGAATTACTCTGCTTTGCCCCAGTGTAATCTCTTTCACTCTACCCTTGACATCCTGCCTCCAGTCCAGCTCTGTCCCCATCTAAGAATAGTGATATAGTGAAAGATAATCCTGCGCTGAATTAAATAACATTCCAAGCAATGATTTGCCAAAGAAGAGAGAGAAAGAGAAAATTTCTATGATTTTCACTGCATAGAAGAAATGTGCCATGACTGCTGGGTGTTTTAGCAAGTACCAACTTGTCCAAGAATATACTCAGGACAGGTCTAAAGATTGCCCGGAAACTATATAATAACAATTCTGTTCCTGAATTAAGGCTATATCCTGCCCTCCTTCTGTGCAGAGATCAAGAGTAGAAAATAGTCCTTAGAGCATTTGATTGATTTCTACAAAACAAAGATACGGCTGGGAAACAAACAGCACCAAAGATCATTCTTATAAAGATTTTCATGAGAAAATGCAACTCAGATTATAAACTGCTTGGAACAAGAACCATAGGTCTGATTCTGGGGTACACTGGTCCCTTCATGACACCTTGCTGAGGCAAAGAGTCTGTAACGTAGACCTAACTGGCTATACAGGAACAGCATAGTGGGAATCCTCCCTTGAGCCCTCATCATAAGGGATGTGACTGGGGAAAAGGGATTTGACTGGAGCAGCTCTGGCTATTTCTGGTGCTAGAATGGTCCTGTAGGGCCCTGGGCAGCTAGATATAAATGACAAAAGCCTTCACGTTCTTCTAATTTACGCTGGTCCCAGAATTAGGGAGCAGCAAAGGTGCCATAAAGCCATCTCTTCCTCACTGTCCTTGGGTCCTGTCCCAAATGCGAGACCTGAGAATCAGGGCCCATAGGCCCAACACCTGTGGCACTGGAATAATAATAATAATAAACATCATCATCACAAAATTAATAATTAATAACATGTGCTGCATTGTTATAGATAAGGTTACAATCTATTTGATCAATTTACAATAGAATGGCACTTAAAACTCACACTACTACATATGACCAAGTAGTTGTTCCTCCAGGATCTACAGTAATTTGTTTGTTGTAGAACAGAATTTTAACTGGGAATTAAAACTAAGGAGAATGTTAGCATTGCACTATTAATGTTACACTTCCAAATGGTGAAACCTTATAGTCCAGTCTGGCAGAGTGAAGGAAAAAATAAAGAGAAAACCATAATTAAATGTAGAAAATATTCAGTCCCTCTATCACCCTGATGGTTATGCCCAATGAGACTATTCCTTGGATTGTTCTTTTTCTAGGCACTGACTCTCCCAATTGACCATAAAACACAGCACTTTATTTGAAAGAATAAAACTAGAGGCAATGACTATTTGACACTACAGACTATTCCCTTCCTGACCTATTTCACTGAAGGGTTTTAATTCTATCTTGGTTGGCTTAAAATGAATACATTAACATTTTTACTGCATACATTTAAATATTGATCCAAGCCATACTTTGTGTAATACCGTGGTATATCATCTAGTTAATACTTTCATACTGTTAGTACGCTTTGCGCTCTTGCTCAAACCCATTAATCACTTTGTCCGAATAAATATGTGGTGTAAAAAATGGATGGTTGCTAATGCTTCCCTATTAAAATTTTAGTGGATCTAAATGATTGGTAACCTGCTTCCATTACTGATTGGAGTGTTATCTTGTATCCTTTTCAGTTTGTTTATTTTACCACAGTTTCAAGATCCTTTACTTAATCTGAGCATTGAAAGGGATTATTTCTCTTCATTTTATCACTATGACAAACTTGTGACACTTTTTTTTAAATGGACATGATCTGGGAACTGCTCAAGTTCACAGAGGTTTGATACACTTACTGTTTTAATGAATTAATTTCTCATCTCAACATCTGACCCTCCTCTTCATCTACTCTTGAAGCACTTCAATTAATGCTAAATTTCCAGTAGCTACACATTTTTGTTCTAGGGAATTTGATCACTTTGACTCTGCTCTTTACTGTCTCCTGAAGGGTTGCATTTGAAATATTTCTCACTGCACTTCTGAGACTACCTTTTAATTAATTCTTTATAATTAAAAATGTATTGTAATTAACTGTGTAGTATATATGCATATTAGTGCCCTCTACTAGAGAGAATCACAACCACGCTACTGTGGGTCATACACCCTATTACCTACAGGAAATTTTCCATTAACTCCAGTGACTAGTGACCTGGGTTTTGGAACAGGAGTATTGTTTTTTCCCATCTGCCACCATGAAGTTCCTGTTAGCCATGATGTACAGCAAAGTGATAACTATGGAGTCATACCTGGCTGACTGGCTATTGTTTTGTTACAGTATTAATTTTGAGGATCCTACTGAATTTAACAAAAAAGTTCATTTGAGATAGTATGAAGAATGTTATAAATGCTTGACCATAAAATGTTGTGAATATACTTTGCACAATCACTTTCCATTGTGAGATTATAGGACTCTTCCCAGTACTTTTTTTACTTGCATTTATTTTATCAGATTGATACAGATAAATACATTGGAAGGGCTCAAAAAGGGGGAACTGTCATTAATTTTCTCAGAAAACAGTTTTGGCAAGTGGGGGAAAAAGCAGTTCAAATGGTCTTTTTGGACACAGGGAAAGGGCTCAGTTTAATCTGCAACCCGCAAACTAGGTAGCAAATATTCTCATGGGGCTTGATTTTTAGAAGTATTGAGAATCCACAACTTCACTTGAAGTCCGTGGAAGCTACAGATTCTGATTACCTAGGAAAGTGAGATCCTGCCAGGGGCTTTTGGCATACAAGGGCATAATGTTAAGTCATCACCACAGAAGTTGGAGGCAGAAGTTGAGCTATTATTACTAATGGTCTGATTCTGACACCCTTTTCACACTGAGTAGTTCCATTGATTACAGAAATCAGCCCCTCCTTATCTCTCTCCACCACAAAGCATTCCAGTAGCTTGAGCAATGTCCTATTAGGCAGGTTCAGTAAAGTGTACGTGAAGAGTCCATTTTATTGCATGTGTCCTATGCTTTGTATCTAGCTTTAATAAATGTTATCGTTATAACTCTATGACGCTACATTGTATTAATAACAATAGGGCCAGATTCTCAGATGGAGTGAATTGGTATAACTCTGGATCTATGGTAATTGACATTTGATAAGAATCTGTCCCATAATAGTTAACTTTTATATTAATAAGAGGTATCCTTGCAGGGTGGCCCTGGGAGGGATAGAGCTCTTTGAATCCTATTAGTTAGGCAGATAAGTGAGTGTTTGAGACAAAGTTGTTCTCCATGTCCACTGAAGGCAGGACAGGAAGTAATGGGCTTAATCTGCAGTAAAGGAGATTTAGGTTTAAGTTCTGGAATAGGTTTCCAAGGGAGGGTGAGGAATCACATTGGAAATTTTTAAGAACAGGTTAGCAAACACCTGTCAGGGATGGTCCAGGTATGCTTGGGCCTGCCTCAGGGCAGAGGGCTGGACTTGGTGTCTTCTCAAGGTCATTTCCATCCCTACATTTCTATGACTCTTAACCCCAAAAGACGGAATAACCTTTCTTCCTATGCATAACACGTCAGGGAGACTGTTCCCCAGGGAAGCAACTTTGAGTGTCTCTTAGGGTTTGTCTACACTACCTCTTAAGTTGATATAACTTACGTAGCTTACGGGTGTGAGAAAAGCAGCCCCCTGAGTGACGTAAGTTACATGGACTTAAAACGGTGTCTACACCACGCTATGTCGGCAGGACATGTTCTCCCTCTGACGTAGCCTACGTCTCTCGCTGAGGCGAAGTAATTATGTTGACGGGAAAGCAGTCTCCTGTCGACATACCGCAGCTTCCCCAGACGTGCTACATTGGTGGAGCTCCATCGATGCAGCTGCGCCGAGGTAGCGAGGTAGCGAAGACAAGCCCTAGAACTTCAGGCTGTGTTGCCAGACAAATGATGAACATATATGGGATTAGGTGTCTGATTTTTTCACTACATGCAAACTTGAAGAAACAAGAGGTGGTAGGTAGGACTTTACTTACTTATTGTAGATCCAGATTCAGGCCTGTTCAAAGAGCTGATGATAACAAAGCCAAACCCTTCATTCTCTTTCCGGTGGATGACAACGTCACTGGTTTGTAAGCTGTGTGAAGTAAAGCCCTCTGGTGGTGTAGCATTACTACTAGATGCAGCATGATTACTGTTAGCATAAGCAGCATAGTCACTTCTAGGAGAACTGTGGTGTGTAGACACTGAACCTGGACTTCTGCCATTTTCTGGGCAAGGGTCTCCTAAAATATAAATCATATAAGTATTACAGTTTAACTTGTTTAGTGACTTTATCAGTTACTGTACCTTTGCTAATGCAACATGAATACAACTGACTGTTTATACTAAAGAAAGGAAACATAACAGATGTGAAAGAACTGGAATCTACCTGATTATGCAAAGTATTCAAGGGAAATCAGATAAAGCAAACATAAACACAAACTCCTATTCTGCTCCACAGAGAAGAGAGGAATCTGTTGTAAGAAACAATACAAAGCTGTACAGCAAAGAAAGTAAATAAGAACTATTCAATTAGCTGATCTGTCATCTAGGGGAAAAATTGGCTGTCTAATCCAATACTAAATTATTTTGTCTTCGGATTAAAAGAATTTAAGCAAGCAGATAATACAGAGTAATTTGGATTAGCTTTATAATTTTCCTCTTATAAATTGATTAGCATACTCAAAAGATGTTTAAGGAATGGAGGAGCAATACAATGAAAAATAATCACAACTAATTATTCTGTTGCTGCCTCCATAGTTGCAATGCTCATTTAGAAGTTTTAAAGATGCTCTTACATGCAGAGTTAAAAGGATCAAAAGTGCAAATGAAGTCCATTAACCTTTCAGCTGTGGCTTTATAGTTTGTAAAAGCAGAGAGGAAGAGAAATTTTGCGTGATTAAGCACTTCCTCATACAAACATTGCTGGCAGTCAGTAACTGTAAATAATTAAGTGACGCTTGTACATGGAAAAAATGTACCTGTATTCATTGCAGACCTTTTGTTTCAGATGAATCATACCTTTCACAGTTTAAATATAGTAGTTTCAGATAAATATACAATGAATGTTTTCTGTCCCTAGCAGTAATGGTGGTGCAGTCATACTACAAAATATCTGACAAGCTTCACATTACACCCCCGCCCCCCAAGAGAGTTTACAAGTTAAAACTTCCAAGTCTGAAATCTATTTTCTGAATAAAATAAGGATCCAAGGACAAGCTGTTATTTTCTCAGGCAGGTAAGTGTGTCCTTTAACAGTCCTTGTGCAATTTTGAAATAGAGTGATTAGGGAGAGTAATGAGGAAGAAAACCAAACAATTATTGTGCCACTACATTAGAATACCAATCTCCAAGAGTTATTGGACCCAATCTGCAACTAAATGCCATAGTCAAAGACAAGAGAGAGCATATTTTCTGGCTGTCATGTTTTAGAAGGTTGACTCTGTATATGTATACTGTGTATGTCAGTATGGCTGCAACAAAAAGAAAATGATCTTACCGCCCTGCATTATCAGGAGCAGGCTTTGTTATAAATGAATGCCAGAGATTCCTATTAACTACACAAAAAGTATAAAAACGGAGGAAGAGCAAATTTTAGATGGCTATTTGATTTTCTTCTTTTTATTCTGAAACATATTCATCAGAATTTTTTTTTGCTTGCTCTGCATGCAAAGAAATGGCATTTTAATATCTATTTCCTCTGAAACATCACTTTTTTATAACCAAGCAGGTTTCATAGCTCAAGTTTGGTAATTCTTTACCTCAGTTTTTGAGAAAGAGGACATCTAAGATTCTGAGGCAGAGCTGTACAAAATAGTCACATCAAATCTCAAGCCCATTTGGATGACATTTCCTAACCCCAGCCCGTGCTAGCAAATGGTTTGTGCGGATGGGCTGAGGTTGTCTGCCCATTTCAGAAGCGGGTTAACCTCATTTCTATTGCACCTCCTAGCAAAATCCTTGAAAACACAGAAGGAAGTAAGGGTGTGTGATGGCCTTGAAACTTGGAGGTGAGGGGTTCCCCTTGGAGGCTAGCATTTTTCTAAAACCTGTGAACCAAACTGCTGGGCTCTGTTTGAAACCTGAACCCAGCCCTAGTCTTGACTCTGTAGCTTGAGAGTGTGTGTATTGGGACCATCTGAAGATGTCTTTTCTTCCTAAGGCCTTTCCTCTATGTTTGATACGTTTATTCACCCAATATTGCCTAAGACTTGTTCTTTTTTCACTCTTTATTGTCCTTTTCTTTTTTGTTTTTGTAGAGGAGGGCAAGCTTTCTAATCACTTCTATGCCTGATTTCCACAACCCCAAAGTCATTCACAGTCAGGATACGAACAGATCAACCCAAGAAAGTACAAACATATGTGTAAATGTCAATATTTTAAAATACCACATCCAAAATTAACCTTTCCTTTGTTATGTAAGAGTCCACCTTTTTTTTTAAAGAATGATTTCTTTCTATGGTTTTCTTTTGCAAAATTTAGTTTTCTTTACATTTTACCTGCACATTTCTGACTGTTGCTTATATAACGAATGTGTTCACTATGGAAAGTTAGGGCATATTCTCCTCTCAGTCAAGCTGGTATAGCACTCTTGACAATAATGAAATTGCATTAGTTTAATTTAGATGAGAATCTGATCCATTGCATAGAAAAAAGAATAGAAAAATCACACTAACTTGAAATTGGATATATAGTAAATTAGGTTCTAATTCTACAAGTTACATGTGGGTAGACTATTATTCATGCATGTTATAACATGCAGGATCATGACCTTAATGTTTGCATCAATATGAAAACAAAGAATAACAAAACTGCAAGACTAGTAAAAATTGCAGGAAAAATGTTTCTGCAAATCTAGTATTTACTGTAAAAATTTTTTAACAGCAATATAAGGAAACACCAAGTTCTCCATATTGCACATACTCAGAACTGAGAACTTCATTTTAACCCTATCAGCCGTAGGTGAGGATGTATGCCAGTACCTTTGTACTGATTTTGTATTTTTCAGTTCATGTAAATAATGCTACATTTTTGTTTAAAGACAACATTCATCACATCAATCTAAACACTTGTACAGCTTCATAAGCAGTTAAACAATGAGTCATACATTATATTTCTCAGTGTGTCCCTATCAAGGCTAAAGAATAATTCAGGATGTTTTACTAGCTTGATTCAATTTCCATGTCAGGAGTCCTAGGTGACTAATAGAAACTCTTAAAAGTTCCTTACATAATGTAAGGCAAGCAGCCACCAAAGGATGATAACTGCGCTGTCTGTACTAACTCCTGTAATTATTATTCTTGCCCACAGTTCAGTTTCCATAGAGGCTGATAAAATCTATTAACTCTTAGGAAACTAATGAATCCCCACGTGTTCAATATTTTACCTTGGTAACTGGCCATTTTCCTAGGGTTTGGGGAGCTCCTAGGGGGCGTTGAGCCAGGTTGGAGGGAAGATTTCTGGCTGCAGGATTCTAGAGTCGTTAACAGAAGAAAGTCAGTCCCAAGATAGGGAAGATTGACAGTGACCTGACAGCGTGCCAGAGATGGGAAATGGGGACTACGAACAACAATAAGTGGGTTAGGAGCATGAGGTTGCTGACCTGCTGGGGTGGGCAGGGAGGGGAAGGCAAAGGCCAAGGAGATAGAGCAGGGAAAGAGGAAGGGCTCTTGGTGGATGGAGAGGGAGAAGACAGAAAGGGCTGATGACATGTTTACTAATTTCTGATCCCTCATTAAAGTGCCCTAATGATGAGCCTGTTCTAAGGGTTATATGAGATTATTAAACTTCATTCACATGAGCAAAGAGTTTAACTGAATGAAAACAGATTCACTCATTAAAAACTCTTGTTAAATAGATGCTGCCAAGAGATAATTAAAAAAAAGTCTCCTTCTCTGTGTTATCAATAACTCCTTAGATCATGGGGGGGGCCAACCTGAGCCTGAGAAGGAGCCAGAATTTACCAATGTACATTGCCAAAGAGCCACAGTATGTCAGCAGCCCCCCATGAGCTTGCACCCCCTGCTCCCAGTGCCTCCCACCCACCAGCAGCCCCTCTGATCAGCGCCTCCCCCTCATTCCCTGCACCTCCTGATCAACAGTTTTGTGGTGTGTGGGAGGCTATGGGGGGGAGGTGAAGGAGCGAGGGCACGGCAGGCTCAGGGGAGGGGGCAAGAAGGGGTGGAGTGGGGGCACGATCTGTGGCAGAGCCAGGGGTTGAGCAATGGACACCCCCTGGCACATTGGAAAGTTGGTGCCTGTAGCTCCAGCCCCAGAGTTGGTGCCTATACAAGGAGCCGCATATTAACTTCTGAAGAGTTGCATGTGGCTCCTGAGCCACAGGTTGGCCACCCCTGCCTTAGATGGTCAAGACTGAAAGAATTTAAAATGTTTCATTTGCTCTATGCAGTGTTGTTGTAGCTGTGTCAGTCCCAGGATATTATAAAGACAAAGTGGGGGAGGTAAAATAAATAAAAAAATAAAAATAAATAATATCTTTTATTGGACTAACTTCTGTTGGTGAGAGAGACAAGCTTTTGAGCTACTCTCTCAGGGTAAGTCTTCACTTCACCCGATCCGGCGGGTAGTAATCGATCTATCGGGGATTGATTTATCATGTCTTGTCTAGACGTGATAAATCAATCCCCGAATGTGCTCCCCATCGACTCCGGAACTCCACCAGAGCGAGAGGCGGAAGCGGAGTCGACGGGGGAGCCGCAGCCGTCAATCCTGCGCCGTGAGGACCCGAGGTAAATCGATCTAAGATACGTCGATTTCAGCTACGCTATTCTCGTAGCTGAAGTTGCGTATCTTAGATCGATCCTCCCCCCCCAGTGTAGACCAGCCATTAGTACCTTTCCTAGACCTGAAGACGAGCTCTGTGTATCTTGAAAACTCATCTCTCTCACCAACAGAAGTTGGTCACATAAAAGGTATTACCTCACCCATCTTTTCTCTCTAATTTGCTTTACACTATTCATTCTGTTCGTTTATCTTCTGCACTTTCTGCTTGGAAAGGGAAACCAGATTGCCCGGTTTCTAGTCATTATTTATATAGCACTAAAAGACTTGAGATGGCTTCCTTTGAAGTCAGTGGCAAAACTCCCATTAACTTCAATGGCAGCAGGACTGGGCTCAGAACATGTCAAAGCAACAGAAGGAATTCCTGCTCTAAAGAGCTTATAATCTGCAAGCCTTTTCCTGCTTGCTTTACTCACACCAATGACTTCAATGAGATCACTCAGATGAGCAATACGAGCACCCTTTGTCCTAAAATGGCACAAGTAGAGACAATACAGGAGAACACAGTATGGAACAAACACAGAGTCACTCATGATCATTACAGCAGGATTGTCACTGTTACTTCCTGGTTCTCTAGGAAACAGGCACAACACTGCAATGTTTGCCTCACAAACACTGCCAGGGAATGTTGAAGGACAAATATTTTCCAAGTCTTAATTCTTTAAATAATAAAAAAATAATAAAGTTAGTTTTTGTTCAAACTTTTTCTTTTTAAAAAAAGCATTACCTAAATTACCGCCCCCTTTATTGACAGCCCTTGGTTAGTTTTTCCACATTTCCCTTTTTTATTAACATACCTATAGATAGCACCTTTCTTCTCACAGTAAGATTCACTTGCCCATTTCGGGCTGCATTATGCATGAGATCAATCACATATCGGTGGGTTTTGCCAGCCACTGGGATCCCATCTACATACACCAACTCATCACCAGGATGTAGACGACCATCTCTGTCTGCAGAGCCCATTGCAATTACTGCTCCAATCAGAATCTAGATAGTGAAACAAATGGGAATGTTAAATATATTCAGGGTATTGCGGGTGGTTCACTGGATAGCATTTTTTCACTTTCAGTTAAAATTTAATTAATGCTCCCACAAGGCATTGGGTGGCACTGTGCTACTGCTCTTTAAATGAGAACCAAAACCCTGATCACTCAGGATCATTTAAAGATGCCATTCTGTTTTCCACAAGAGATGGGGTGATAAACCTGAGAATTCTAGCATTACTGCAACATTGGCCAACTACACTTTAAATCTTTAAATCAAGATTGTATGTCTAAGGGCTTGTCTATACTTACGGCTATATTGGCATTGCTGTGATCGATACAGTGGTGTTGATTTAGCAGGTCTGGTGAAGACCCGCTAAGTCGATGGCAGAGCGCTCTCCTGTCGACTCCTGTACTCCACCTCCCCAAGAAGAGTAAGGGAAGTCAGCGGGAGAGCATCTCCTGTTGACACAGTGCAGTTTAGACGCTGCGGTAAGTGGATCTAGCTACGTCAACTTCAGTCACATAACTGAAGTAGCGTAACTTAGATCGATTTACCGCAGTAGCGTAAACAAGGCCTAAGAGAGCTACTCTAGTTTGACAACAAGCTATTGGGTTTGATGCAGGAATTACTGGGTGAAGTTCTATGATCTGAGTTGTGCAGGAAGTCAGACTAGATCAGTGGTCCCCAATGTGGTGCCCGTGGGCGCCATGGCGCCCGCTGGGGCATCTATGTGCACCCGCCTACTGACAAGGGAGCGCCCTGCCACCTAGGAGCGCGGCCGCCAGACAAGCAGCCGCTGAAATACCACCGAGAAGCGGCAACGTCAAGAAGCGTTGCTGCCGAAATGCCGCTGCTTCTCGGAGGCATTTCGGCGGCGACGCCTCTTCATGAAGCTGCTTCTTGGCAGTGACGCTTCTTGGCGTTGGCGCTTCTCGGCAGCATTTTGGCGGCGATGCTTCTTGATGACACTGCTTCTAGGCAGCATTTCGGCGGCTGCTTGTCCGGCGGCCACGCTCTTCGGCAGGTAGTCGTCTGGCGCCCGCCACACTGAAAGGTTGGGGACCACTGGACTAGATGAACATAATGGTTGCTTTGGGCCATCTAATCTGTGAATCCATATTCTGTCCACCTATGTTCCCTGACTGCTGTGTTCTATAAAATAGTTTGATATATTTAATCTCAAAGGTGTTTACCTGAATTTCAGTAGTGAGTTGAAATGATCCCTAGTTAGCAAACTACTTTGGGATCCTTTGGTAAGAAAGTTGCTGTATCAGGCATTTCTGCTGATAAAAAACAGTTAAGGAGTAACTGATTGGCAAAAAGAGAAGAAGAGGACAAATGTCAATTTTTTCTGTGCAGATGGAGTTTTTAGATGGAGGACATGCTCAAATGTACATTTAAAATCAACTTGTTTTAGACAGATAAACCCAGTAAAAAGGAACATTAAAGGTTTCTAATGAATTTTTCCAGACATATATTTTTTTCCATGACATATCTGGGATAAAAATCAAGGTTAAATCAAACAAAACCTGAAAAGATTTGTATGTTTAAATTATTCACAAAGTTATTTCCTGATTTTCCTTTCTTTCGTGTAGGTTTTTGGTAAACAAAGAATGATGGGTTCAGATGGAAAAGTTGCCATGTGAGGTATCTGCTTAAGAATTAACACAGCCTGAGGCTGTATTAACTCTTGAGCAGTGCCCTCTTTAGGTAATAAGGGAGAGAAGCCAGCAAGGGAACTTGTAAACATGAAGAACAGCTGCAAGGGGCAGAAGATGGTGCAGAGGCATAGGATGTATGTGTCTATATGGGTGGTCTTGGCCTCTGATGGGTACACAGAGGTCTGAAGGGGCCTGGAAGCAAACCTCTGCAAACCTAATGGAAGAGCTTTCAGAGGAAACTTCATGTGGGGAACTTTGCAGAATTGTCCTCTCTCTCTCTGGCCTTCCCCTGGTACAATCTTTTGCTTCCAAAATGTAAGGGGGAGGGGGGGAAGCCACAGCTTTCTCCTTCTTCCTGATGTTCTTAGATACCCTTTAAGTAGTGCCAAGCAGAGTTACCAGAGATTTTCTTTTGAAATACTCCATTCTGTGCTTCAAAAGGCTGAAAGAATATACCTCAAAAGCTTTGGATACTACTTTGTGCAAAACCCAGGTATAAAATATACATTTATGCTCTTTTACTGGACAACAAAAAGCAACTCCAGGCTGCACGGAGATAGATTCGCACAAAGTATTCTCAAAACATTTTGATTTTGTGTCTCTACCACATAAGGATTTGTAGCTAGTTATCTAAAACAGAAATGTGTATGAACTTACTGTAGTGTGGCAGATTTTTATGGGGGAAAACTTGCTCTTTGGTTTGTATACTGAATATATTTCGTTTGCTTTAAATCTGATTCTATGCAGATAAAGCACTGAACAGTATCTTGACGGCAGCTGCACAGTAAGCAGAGGTTTTCGCTGAGCTGTCCACAATGATCCCACCATTAGTTTAGAATTAGAAGTACTGAAAATGATTTCTTCCAGTGTGCATTACCTTGCTTTTGTCAATGTGGTATTTCATCTGCCATTCCAGTGGCCCACCTAGCTTTTTAAAGTTCCTCTCATGCTCCTAACAGTCTTTTCTAGCTTGACTATGCTAAATAATGTTGTCTCTTCTGAAAATTTTGCTACTCTTTGTTCACTCCCTTTCAGCTCATTAATACATTTAAGCTCCAATCCTGCAATTCACTGTGCCCATGTAACCCACCGCTCAGTGTACAGTCCTCTGCCACGAATGATCCACAGAAGGATATGATTCTTTTACTCACCACAGCTACGGGGAGTGGGGAAGGGTCTTTAGCTCAAGCTGTAGCAACTCAGGCTTTTAGCTATAGAAATCCCTAGTTCAGACCCTGGTGTGTCAGCCAAGATGGCAGCCATTACAGCTGTTGACATCAACGCTGCTTCACCTGCGTGCAGTGAATGCTGGGCTTGGTTGCTTAAAAAAAGTCACATTCTGACATAATGGGAGCCATATGCAATAACATGGATCCTAGTTTAGAACCTGGAGATGACCCACTATTAACTTTTTGCTATGTTGAAAATCAATAATTTATTCCTTCTCTTTGGTTTGTGTGTTTTATCTAGTGTCTCTCACCTCACGACTACTTCATTTCCTTAATAGTCATAAACTCTGCAAACAGAAAACAAACTGAAAAATATCAAGCATTTAATGACATTTGTGTCATTCTTTCAGAATGAGACTGACTGGAATGTCTGCAGGGGCAGTCTGACAAATTTATCGGAGAAAACCATTAATTTCAGCTATTGCTTGACAGTAATAAAATTTACTTTAAAACTATCTCCCAAATGTTGACCTGTTGAGATTAACAGTATTTTGACCTAGTGGTCTGAGAATGAAATTAGGAGCCAGCAACTCCTAACTCCTGCTTTGCCACTAAGTCCTGCTGTGATTATTTTTTTTGGCACATCATTTCACTTCTCTCTCATTTTCCCCATCTGTAAATGGCGACTTCATAGGTTCCTTGTACAGTTTAATTAAATAATAGACGTAAAGTGAAGCGGGAGAGGGAAAGTGCTTAGTATTATCCACTTCACTGATGGGTTCATGATGCTGAGTTCAAGTTGTATGAATGATCCAAAATATTTTCCCTATCTGGAACAGTACTAAATATCTTAGTGCCTTCAGCAGGGTTCTGAGTGCGGTGCCAATTTCAGAATATCTGGCCACATTCATCGATGGTTCACCAGAGTAAGTTAGGCACAATTTGGGGTATGTGTGTCTGGAGTGTGTAACTGTTACAGTTCATTGGCAGTAGAAGCATATCTTAAACTCCTCACTAGTCACTGGTAGATGTGGTAGATGCATATAGGGGTATGATCTTGGATACTGACATTTGGGAGTTGACTGGAGTTGACACTGACTGGAGTTGGTGTAGCCACACCTAGTGGTATCTAGCAGAGGTGTCTAAATGTAACTCCTCCTCACTACTTTAAAGGGTCTTTGTGCTCATGAGCAAGCAAAGTGGAGTACTCCAATCCTATCTGTTCTTTCAAAATATTAGTGTCAAATGGATTATACACCCTGAAGCAAACTCTGTTACAGTCCTACTGAACTGTTCGCCTCATCACTTTTTAAAACTTTATGTGGAATTTGCTTTTTACAGAAACGTAATTCCTTATGCTGAGGAATCCAATACGCCTTTTTAGAAACAAAACCACAAAGACAAAAGGCAATTAAAGCTTTCGTTTTGTTCTATGTTACCTGAGCGCACAGCAGGAAAGCTGAAAAAAAAAAACATTTCAAAGTATCTCACTGCTTGCTTCATGGGAAGTGAGGGGGTTTGCAGGACAAACATAAGCTGTGCCTCTCCTTGTTTAGAGGTGAGAGACATGGGTGGGTGCAGTTGAGCTGTGAATGGGGGAGAAGGGAACAGCAAAGGAGAGAAAAATTAGATTTGAAATATGTTTTATTATGAATGCAAATTATGCAGAAACGGTTCTTCACAAATGCTGAGTTTGTATGATGAAAACAGAAGACAAACATCCTAGACAGCATGGATTTTGAGTGTTGTTTGAGTGATGACACTTTCTCTAGGTAATAGATAAAAATTTTAAAAGCTCCTAAGCCTTGTTTCAAAAATAATTTTGGCATTGAGAAGACTAAGTCCTAATGACTTTCAATGAGACTTAGGCTCCTAAATTGCTTTTGAAAATGGAATCTAGGCTTTCAATTCACTAGGGTGCTTTTTGAAAATTTCTCCCCAATGTATTTATGCCAAAATATGGTCTCTGTGTTTATCAGTATATGATGTATTGCTTTTAGAATATGATGCATATATTTCAGTAAACAGAAGGCACCCTTAAAATGTCAATATTTCTCACATTTATCAATATTTCATTTCTTCACACAAAGTGCAGTCACCCTGTGAAACTTGTTGCCAGGGGATGTTGTGAAGGCCCAAACTATAACTGGATTAAAAAAGAATTAGATAA